TATGCAATCGAACTTGGGGGTTTGATTGTCAGCGGAGGCTTGTCCTGTAGGGGATCACGAAATCCGTGTTGAATAATGTTGGAGGCGTAAGGATCTTGCAGTATTCCCCAGTTTTCCAGTGTAGTTGGGCGTCCACCCACTTGAGCTGGTTGTACTGGAGCGGCTGGGGTGGAAGACTCCAGTCGTTCGAACCTGTGTTTCAGCGTCTATAATTGCGGGAACCTCTGGGTGTCCTGCCTCTTCCTGATCCTCCTCTATAGTTGCCATATGGGCGGCGAAAAGAATCTTTACCTCTAGAGCTGGCTATCTTCCTGTCTCTTGCTCTTTGTAGGCCCGTGAACTTAGATCTGCCTGAGTATCTTTGTGAAGTCTGACGAATGGCAGCTGGCTAGTGTGTCCATCGATCTAATCATAAGGACTTCCCTGGAATCCTTAGAGACTTCCTTGGCGACCTTGTCGATTTCTCCGTCAAAGATGGATGTTGTGCGACCAGGGGCTGTATAAAAGTGGGGCTGTAAAGTTCTCCCCAATTACAGAGGAGGAGGAGGCCTTGACTGACGAGCTAAGGTCAGTGCTGCTGAAACAGATGTAAGATGATCCGTTAAAACTGCTGATCTTTCTTTTGCATAAGTAAGGCAGAATAAATCATTCTATCATCTTCCGTACGTGGAATCCGGAATCTAGTAATAAGAGTCTCATTGATCGTCCTAGATCTATTTAACCCAAAGAACATCGTCTGCGTCATGGTTTCTATATGAGCCAACTTGCGATCATCCATCTTGTAAATCTTGTTCTTTACATAAGCTGATGATCTTATAGTTCTCATCGATGTCCTGGGCCTTGTAGAAGGAGTCCATGTTATCGTGGAGAACTTCTTGGCTTGAAAGTTGGGTAGATGTGGTATCTGAACTTTTCGTGCTTTCTGGAAAGCTGCATCTAGATTCTGTGGCACTGCGCAATCCAGATCGTCGAGGTAGAAGTGATTGCATCTGGATCATCTTCCTTCATCAAATCGTCTGAGCTGTATTGCCACTTTTAGATGGTGATGTGAGATCTAGGTTATTGACCATCAATACCGTATCTCTGCATCAGAAAATATGATTCCTCCATCATCCTCAAAACCATCATCATTAATAAATTGTAGATGCTCTTAGGGACTGCGTGTAGCTGTCTGTATATCTGATGAGGTTTGTGGCGATCTAGTTGACTTGTGCGCTCTATGTGGAGATCTGATGGGTGATCGACCTGGTGATGAGCGGGTGGAGATGCGTCTATGGGATGATCTTCTCGAGACTTGTGAGTGAATGTTGATAGCCCGAAGCTCTTCGGCAGTCCCTCGATGTTCTTCTAGACGATGAAGATCTGGAATCATATGTCCTTCGCGAATGCCTTAGCGAAGCTTCATTGCGTCGGTCGAGGATCGATGATATGACCTTCGCGAAGGCTTCGTGATGTCTGATGGTCTGAGTCCATATCTAGAGATGAAATCGAAGATGGTGATGATCTCTCCGCTGCCGGCCTTAGGCGAAGAGCTGTACATCTAGGTCCTTCCGTCAAGGTGGTGCGGGACTTCGCCGCGAAGGTGACATCGTCTTGGCTGCTCGTTGGCGGGGGTGCCTCTGGGGTGCTGTTCACGTTGGAGCCTTGGAAAACTTTCGGACCCTGCTTGCGCGGTTTGTAGTGGTCCTCCATGATGTTCATAATCTGCGCATCATGTCTTCTGGGATGATCTGTGGCGAAGTCGTCGGCGTCTTTTCTGCGATGGGGTTCACATCAATGGCGTCTGGCGATCGGTGTAGAGAGCATCAGGCTGCATGGAGATCTCTGCAGAAGTCACAGTCGCTGACACCGATTAAACTTCTTCTGCCGTAAGTGGGGATGATTATCGGCTGATCATCGTAGAGGCCCAACTCTGCTGCTGGAGCGATCTCGGCTGAAAAGTTCTTGCTGTCTTCGTGAATTTCCCTTTGGAAGTCTGCGCTGCCCTGGAATTGTCCTCAATCTGCGTTGAGGCGGCGATGAGGCCCTCTTAGACTTAGTCTGCAATGGCGGGATGTCTGGGGAGGCGGTCGTTTCTTCCGAGTAGCGGACTCGTCCCCACGTTCCTCTGCCGCAGGGTCTCTAGCAGAACACCAGGCGGGAGAGGTCGATCGCTAGCAGCTGACTGGAAGGAATATCTGGACTCTCTGCCATGTTTTGCCCTTGTTTGCGTGATCTATCTGCAGCACGTCTTAAGACATAAAGATGATATTTATTAAATGCAGAATGAGATAAATTAATGCAGTAACTGCAGCGTGAATTAAGCACACGCGTAGAACAACTAGGGCATATTACATGTGGATCGGAGGCAGAAAAGCGTAATCTACAAATCGTACAGATTTTCATGAGCGTAAAGCTAGCTGAACAATCACGAATACATTGAATAAACGGTAGAAATCGATAATTAATCAATACAAATAGTAAAGGATACTAGCTATACCTCTATAGTAACCTATGAGAGGTAAAAACTAAGAGATTATCAAAGGATATGTGTGTAAGGAGACACAAGGCGCTCTCACATCCTGCTCACTGGGCGAAGAAGGAGAGAGTGAAGCACATGGCCAGAGGGTGGCGACACCTTTTCCCGCCAGGGGAGACAAAGGGGAGCAACTCGTGGTGAGTACCAATTAGTGATTTTATTTTGAAGGGAGCTTCAAATAAGGAGATACAAGTGTTCCACTATGTTCGCAAGAAGAAGAAGACAAGCAAAAGAGCATGAGTCAGGATAAGGAAAAATTATTTTCTTCTGCTTTGTTCATTAAAAGGTAGAGTTTTCACATTATTGATTTGACTAAATTTGAACAAAGGACAAAATAATGCAGGCGCGGTGTAGACAATCTCTTTATACATGTGTAGATACCGACACGATCTGCAATTTGAACATGTGGTTGTGTTCACGGTTTTTATAAAATTACGATGGGAATCTTTGAGAGAAAAATACAACCAAACAACATAATTCAGTTACCCTTCCCCTGCTAATATCTTAGGCGGACGTGAATTGCCAGAAACATTATTTGGTTCGAAAGAAAATACGCTTCCCACTCTGAGCATTTGGCTGAGGCGATTTTTCATCAGGGATGTAACTCATTTTCACTCGCCAATTGCAATCTGTCAACTAAAATATATTAAAAATAAAGTACGTATAAACATTCCTCTTTAAATATCATTCACAAACGGAAGATACCAAAGTACCACAAGCAGAATTCATCAACAACGTTCACAATCATGTACGTTTAGCCGGCGCCGGCGGTGACGCCATTGTGATTAGTCAGTGGTTGTCCCCCCTAACGTCAAAAACGAAGTGGGCGGGGCTTATGAGTCTATGACACTTGCAGCAGTGAGGTGACTGGGGCTGGAGATCTACTCTGATGCCGGTTGCCTGGGGCCCATTCCATAATATGATCGTAACGCTAGGCAATCATGAGTCTGTGAAAGTGTACGAGAGTTATGACACTTGCTGCATTGAAATAACTGAGCCCTGGAGATTTATTCAGATGCTGGTTGCCTGGGGCCCATTCCATAATATGATCTTAGCACTGAGATGATAGAGAGTTTATGACAGAGTACTGGAATCATGACACTTTCAGCACTCCAATCAGGTTGTGGAGTGGGTCCTCCAACACCTGCTCTGATGATTTCCAGGCAACATCACATGACGAGAATATTGCTGTTAAACAACAAAGAGATATGAGTGAATGAGACCCATGCTGTGTAAATAATCAAGTCAGGACCAGACAAGCCAGTGATGGTCATTGTGTAAATAATCAAGTCAGGACCAGACAGTCAGCCAAGTCAGGACCAGATTGTGTAAATAATCAAGTCAAGCCAGTAAATAATCAAGATGGTCATTGTGTAAATAATCAAGTCAGGACCAGACAAGCCAGTGATGGTCATTGTGTAAATAATCAAGTCAGGACCAGACAAGCCAGTGATGGTCATTGTGTAAATAATCAAGTCAGGACCAGACAAGCCAGTGATGTCATTGTGTAAATAATCAAGTCAGGACCAGACAAGCCAGTGATGTCATTGTGTAAATAATCAAGACAAGTCAGCACCAGACAAGCCAGTGATGTCATTGTGTAAATAATCAAGTCAGGACCAGACAAGCCAGTGATGTCATTGTGTAAATAATCAAGTCAGGACCAGACAAGCCAGTGATGTCATTGTGTAAATAATCAGTGATGTCATTGTGTAAATAATCAAGTCAGCACCAGACAAGCCAGTGATGTCATTGTGTAAATAATCAAGTCAGGACCAGACAAGCCAGTGATGTCATTGTGTAAATAATCAAGTCAGGACCAGACAAGCCAGTGATGGTCATTGTGTAAATAATCAAGTCAGGACCAGACAAGCCAGTGATGTCATTGTGTAAATAATCAAGTCAGGACCAGACAAGCCAGTGATGGTCATTGTGTAAATAATCAAGTCAGGACCAGACAAGCCAGTGATGGTCATTGTGTAAATAATCAAGTCAGGACCAGACAAGCCAGTGATGTCATTGTGTAAATAATCAAGTCAGGACCAGACAAGCCAGTGATGGTCATTGTGTAAATAATCAAGTCAGGACCAGACAAGCTAGTGATGGTTATTGTGTTAATTATCAAGTCAGCACCAGACAAGCCAGTGATGGTCATTGTGTAAATAATCAAGTCAGGGCCAGACAAGCCAGTGATGGTCATCATGAGTATCGATCCTCACATGTGGTGACATGTGATCAACCAACAACCTGATTCATCTAGTCGCCTTTAATGAAAAGCAAAGGACAATTCTAGCATGGATTCCTGCCCACAGGGAGCACTTCAACACAAATATTTTAAACATTTTAATATATGTCAAGTTTTGTTAAAGCTGCATTTTGTTGAGTTTAGTTTGACAAGCACTTATTGCCATTGTAGCATGTGAATTGGTTTGTGGTACAGGTTCATACGGCAAGTTTGCTGGAAGACTGATGCTATACATACCCTGCAGTTGTTACATCAGCTTTCCTGGACTTCAGCTTGGCCTCCACGAAGTGAATGACCCCTTTATCCTTTGGCCTGCAGCAGAAGCAATCTACCAAAACAATGATGATGATGATGATCACTATCGCAAAGACAATGAGAGCGATGCCCCATGGAGGAACCGGAGGATGTGAACCTGAAAAAAATGAAATGTATATTTTTATAGATATAACGGACAGAATTATAATTAAAACGCCCGAATGTTTTCAGAAATGAGTGGGCCACTGTGACTTGATAATGCCCCCAAATTGCTTGACGACGGGCCATTATCACGCCTGTCATTAGGTGACGTCATAAGGAGCTCGGCATGTTCTACAGCGTGTTTGAACTTGGGTTTAATATTGACGACATTTCTGACTCACATTCTTCATATGTACCTATTTCCAGTTCTGGTGCCATTATGCACTTTCTTGCCGGTGCCAACCTCAAAAATTGTACCATAACTTACAACATGCAACAATGAAAACATCAACTTGAACTCTAATGTTGTTGAGCACTGAAAAATATGGCGGCTGGAAGTATGGGCAAAGGCCAAGGTCGAATGTCGTCACGCTCAATCTGTTTTGTTCTATGATGTTCTATTTTGTCTAGGAACTGCAAGTTGCCCAACACCAGGCCAGGCTGACCCTCAAGTTTCAGTAAAATATACTTCAAAGGATGGTACAAAACAAGACTTGAGTTTTGATTGATGTTTTAAACAATTTCCACAAAACAATGTTCAGTCAAAGTGTGAAGGTGGGAACAAAATAATTTTAACAAACACAATTGGCATATGCTTAAGCCAGAGAACATATTGGTAGCTGTATGCTAAGCCTAACCATTATGGGGCTTGGTGATTCGTTTCTGGTGTATTCTTGCGTTCAACCACCTAGTTTTAAGGTTATTTTAGGTTTAGTTAATATATCTGCGATGTCACCATGATACTGTCACTACATGTATGACTCACTGTTATTTGTAGTGGCCATGCTGTCTACTAACGCGACCTTTGTTACATGATACAGAAAACCCAGTGTTCCAGGAAGGTGAGGTGAGGTGAGGTGAAATTGGGTTTAACGTCGTACTTGAGAATATTTCGCTCATATGACGATGTGCATGCGGGTGTGTGTATGTGCGGCAGATTGTACTAGCCCAGACTGAAGCTGGTTTTATAGTGCTAGCTCACTGATATACCATGCCGCAGTGAAGCATCAACACCCCACTCAGACACATTATACTGACTCCGAGCCGACCAGTCCTTGTTGTACCCATTAATGCCGAGAGCCAGGCAGGGACCAACAAGTGCCATATTTTAACGTCTTTTGATATGACGCAGAGGGGATCGAACCTGCGACCTTCCGCTCTCTTCGCGGACACTCTAACCACTACACCACGGAGGCGGTCTATGTGTTCCAGGAAAGGCCAAAGTACTCCCAAACTTCCTGATCACCTTCTTGTGTAAACAATTTGAGAACTTCTGTAAATAAAGTGTTATATTTATTTAATTATAGTAAAAAATGATCCTAGCTTTACAGTAAGTAAGGCTATCTATATCTATGTTGTATTTTGAAAAAAATTGGAATGAATTTGGCTTTGTCGGAATGGCGGGAATCCACATGCATTTTGATAAATTCGGGAGGGTTGGCATCTCTGCTGGCGTGCATCAATGAGAAAAGATTCCTCCAAGCTCCTGTAATCTGCCCCCAACTCTGTGGGACAACTGATACAGGGGGGATAACGACACACCCTGGGTTGTACTGATAGTGACCCCCATCTACCCCTCTTCTCCCCCGACCCCCATCCACACCTGAGTGAATACTTCAGCTGCCAGTAAACATGGTAAACCTGTATTTCAATATAGTCAAACACAATTGTGTCAAACACTCATGAATCAAACATACAGTTGTCTTGAGGTGAAAGCTTGGCCCATTTGTAACTGCCTGCCTGTTGTATGCATGTTCTTACCACGTTAAGAAACATTAAATTCATCCATGAAAAGTGATCCATGAGTGAGTGAGTGAGGAGCTTTTAGGAACATTCCAGCAATATCTCGATGGGGGACACCAGAAATTGCCTTCACATGTGGGGAATCAAACTGGGTCTTCAGAGTGACGACATGAACGTTTTAACCACTAGGCTACCCCACTGCCCGGATACAGCCCTAATGCCTACACTTAGCTACTTACATATTTTGGTCTTCTTATTGGAGGGTGTGTAACACTGGGCGGCTGGCCCGGTGACACTGCATTCCAGTTCCCCACCTGTAGGGGCATCATCAAGTTCTACCTCATCATTTTCTTTGTACTGGTCAGATGTGAAACTGTAGCTGTTCTCGGCCATCTGAAAATATCCACATAACAGGTGACATAATTGACTGAGTGGTCTGGCTCAGAGAATTTGTTATCATACTCTGAGTGAGTGGGTGAATTTAGTTTTACGCTGCTTTTAGCAACATTCCATCAATATCAAGGGGAACACCTGAAACGGGATTCAGATATTGTACCCATGTGGGGAATCGAACCCTGATATTCAGCGTGACGAGCGAACACCTTAACCACTCAGCTACCCTACCGCCCTTATCAACACTATCTATGCAAACATGGTAAAGGTTGAAATTGTCTGCGTGGTATTCACAACAAGAAGACAAAGTCATCAATATCCCCCGCAATGGCAAAATACTCTTCATGAATATATCTACGAGTTATGATTATGTCAAATATTTAGGTGTGTATATAGAAAAATGGAAGGAGAGTATTGAAAGGTTTTTAAAGTTCTGCTCCAGAAAGGAGCACTATCACCAATTTCAGTCTATGTCAAACTTGTTGCCATGGAAATGCCAAAAATATTTCATTCAGAATTCCAAAACTACCAAAAAGGAACCAGTACACCACCAGACCAATCTATGTGTCAAGTTTGGTGAAGAAATAGTGAACGGTTTTAGAGTTCAGCTCAGGAAAAGAGCACTACCACCAATTTCAGGCTAAGTCAAACTTGCTTTAAGCAATATTGTAGCAATATCACGGCAGGGGACACCAGAAATGGGCTTCAGACATATTGTACCCATGTGAGGAATCGAACCCTCACAGCTTCTCAACAATCAGACTCACACATGGGGGAGTGGTCCAACACAAGAACAGCATCTGAACAATCAGACTCACACATGGGGGAGCTGGTCCAACACAGGAACAGTATCAGAACAATCAGACTCACACATGGGGGAGTGGTCCAACACAGGAACAGCATCTGAACAATCAGACTCACACATGGATGAGTGGTCCAACACAGGAACAGCTTCTCAACAATCACTCACACACAGAATAGTGGTCCAACACAGGAACAGCATCTGAACAATCAGACTCACACATGGGTGAGTGGTCCAACACAGGAACAGCTTCTCAACAATCAGACTCACACATGGGGGAGTGGTCCAACACAGGAACAGCTTCTCAACAATCACTCACACACAGAATAGTGGTCCAACACAGGAACAGCATCGGAACAATCAGACTCACACATGGGGAGTGGTCCAACACAGGAACAGCATCTGAACAATCAGACTCACACATGGGTGAGTGGTCCAACACAGGAACAGCTTCTCAACAATCACTCACACACAGAATAGTGGTCCAACACAGGAACAGCATCTGAACAATCAGACTCACACATGGGGAGTGGTCCAACACAGGAACAGCTTCTCAACAATCAGACTCACACATGGGGTGGTCCAACACAGGAACAGCTTCTCAACAATCACTCACACACAGAATAGTGGTCCAACACAGGAACAGCATCGGAACAATCAGACTCACACATGGGGGAGTGGTCCAACACAGGAACAGCTTCTCAACAATCAGACTCACACATGGGGGAGTGGTCCAACACAGGAACAGCTCAACAATCAGACTCACACATTGGGGAGTGGTCCAACACAGGAACAGTATCAGAACAATCAGACTCACACATGGGGGAGTGGTCCAACACAGGAACAGCATCAGAACAATCACACTCACACATGGGGGAGTGGTCCAACACAGGAACAGCTTCTCAACAATCAGACTCACACACGGGGCAGTGGTCCAACACAGGAACAGCATCAGAACAATCAGACTCACACATGGGGGATTGGTCCAACACAGGAACAGCATCAGAACAATCACACTCACACATGGGTGTGTGGTCCAACACAAGAACAGCATATTTGACTCTTTGATAAATATGTATATTTGACAGACATAATTTGTCTCACCCTGATAGTAATGTTGACATTTGCATCCTCTTGAAAACCTTCACATAATGTTTGCGGACGGAAAGTTTTCGGGATGTGGATGCAGTTGTCTGAGTCAGGCGACGGAGGTGCAGGAGTTGGGGACTGTCTTACATCTGAAATTAGGAAAAATCAAACTGAACCATGAGCATTTCTAGAAATATATTCACAGCTATAAGTAACACTAAACACACACACACCTAAGTCTCTGTAACTACCTAGAGTCTAAAGGAAGTTAAGTCACCATGTCATGTGATCTTAGAGTGAGTGAGTAAGATATCATACTGCTTGTAGCAATATTCCAGCAATATCACAGTAGGGGAATCCAGAAATGGGCTTCACACATTGTACCCAAGTCGGGATTTGAACTGAGGTATTTGGCGTGACCATCAACTGCTTTAACTACTAGGCTACCCAGCCACCTTGTGACTCTAGATGGTAGTTGCCTGTGAGGTGCAACAAGGTTAATCTGTTAACACTCCCACAATCATCTCTGACATTAAAAGAATTCTGTTACAAATCTGTTCCAGTTTGTGTGATTCCTGTCACAATTCTGGTCTGATGGGAATCATGTAATAGAGATGAAAGTTTTGTAAGAATAAAGTTATCCATGAGAACATTACCATATCCTTCGATGCTACAAGTCTTCAAGAGTGGCTTTGTTCCATCACGACAATTCCACGTTCCAACATCTGTCTTATTCAGACTCTTTATACGCATAATGTGTTTGTCATCTGAGCGTAACACCACCTCATAACCTTGAACATTAAAATAGCATTTATCTTTATTCTTCAGGCACGTTACTACTTCAATAGCATCTCGCCGCGAAAACCCGATAGAGTCGTATTGGCCAGTTATGTCACAGGTGATGTTGACTGGCCGCCCAAAGCAGGCTACTTCAGGGCATGATGTACTGGTTTCTGCTGCATCTGATGAGAAAAGCAAGCATTATGTTACCATGACTACCAGTGTTTGAAACCAAACATGAAAACCAAGAACCCTTGTCATAATCTGAACTTGTAAAGTACGAGATGCGGGAAAAATATATTAAAATCTCATCCTTCACGCATGCTCAATGTGCTTGAAGATATGACATCCCTATCATTTCAACTGAAGGTCATATCAGTAACCCACGCTTGTCATAAGAGACAACTGAGGGAATCAGGAGGTCAGGCTCACTGACTTGGTTGAGACAAGTCATCATATCCAAATTATGTAGATGGATGCTCATGCTGTTGATCACTGTATCCCAGGCTCGATCATTTAGAGACGCTGCCATAGAGCTGGAATATTGCTGAGTGGAGTCAGTGCTGTGTTCAACAACAAACCAAACAAACAACCTGATTGGAAAAAAACTAGGGTTGATTTGATCAGGAAAACAACACCAGGGCCAGGCCAAACTGAACAGGATCTACTGATCCATGTTCATATTTCTCTGGTGTACCTAGGAGACGATACGCCCTATATTTCCTGAGGTGGGGATGAAGCTGAGACTCTGAAGCCCCTTAAAGCTTGAAGTGATCAGCTTGTAATTTTGTTGGTGCTGACAACCACAGATATATCCATAGAAGCCTCCTCATTGTTAACCACAGATCAGAATCAGGGTCTGTACCAACAGTCAGCAGATCCTGGCGTGACTAAGGGGAGGGAATTGAACAGAGAGTGAGTTTAGTTTTATGCTGCTTTCAGCAATATTTCAGCAATATCACAGCAAGGAACACCAGAAATGGGCTTCAGACAGTGTAACCCTGTAGGGAATTGAACCCGGGACTTGAGTGTGACAAACAAACACTTTAGCCATCAGGCTACCCCACCGCCTGAATTGAACAGAGAACTATGAAATGCCTCATGACGTTGAGAGATTCTTACCACTGACAAAGATGGAGACGAAGCAGATCAGCAGAAAGAGAGAAACCATGGTAACTTGTCTCGGTAACGTCTCCATCAGGTCACATCGATCTGTAAACATCAACAGATATGGATCTGTAAACATCAACAGATATGGGTCTGTAAACATCAACAGATATGGGTCTATAAACATCAACAGATATGGTTCTGTAAACATCAACAGATATGGTTCTGTAAACATCAACAGATATGGGTCTATAAACATCAACAGATATGGTTCTGTAAACATCAACAGATATGGGTCTGTAAACATCAACAGATATGGGTCTATAAACATCAACAGATATGGTTCTGTAAACATCAACAGATATGGGTCTGTAAACATCAACAGATATGGTTCTGTAAACATCAACAGATATGATCTGTAAACATCAACAGATATCTGTAAACATCAACAGATATGGGTCTATAAACATCAACAGATATGGATATGGGTCTGTAAACATCAACAGATATGGTTCTGTAAACATCAACAGATATGGGTCTGTAAACATCAACAGATATGGTCTCTGTAAAACATCAACAGATATGGTTCTGTAAACATCAACAGATATGGATATGGTCTGTAAACATCAACAGATATGGTGGTCTGTAAACATCAACAGATATGGTTCTGTAAACATCAACAGATATGGTTCTGTAAACATCAACAGATATGGGTCTGTAAACATCAACAGATATGGTTCTGTAAACATCAACAGATATGGGTCTGTAAACATCAACAGATATGGTTCTGTAAACATCAACAGATATGGTTCTGTAAACATCAACAGATATGGTTCTGTAAACATCAACAGATATGGGTCTATAAACATCAACAGATATGGGTCTGTAAACATCAACAGATACTGATGTGTAAACATCAACAGACATCAGCATAAAATCTAATGAACATCACTGCAGCAGAAGCATAAACATAAAGGGTTAAACTTGACAAACATACAGGGTTAAACTGATACAAAATACTGCTGCCTTTCTGCTTATAAATTGAGAATGGATGCAAATAATTCATAATACGTGTCATCAGGATGACAAGTGAACTCGTTGAATCATTCAAAATAATCAAACTGTTAACTGCATGCATGTTGCATGTTAATAGCATTCAGTTTTTAAACATATTTATCGTGCTGGAGTGATTGATCTATCGATCAATCGATTTGTTTCGTCAACACGATGTTATGATTGTGTCCTGTTAGTGCCAACATGAGTTTTGTGGTTAGGTGTACAATTACAATTCATCTTCCGCTTGTTGATCGATAACTGAGCTCTGGCCCGATTTCTCGAAACAAACTTAAGTTTTTACTCAAATTTCAATTTGAAACAGCTGAATTTTAAACTCAACTGCATTTTTTAAATAAAAGAGCCCAAACAAACTTCAGTAATCTATCCACCAAACTCAAACTGTCTTCTATGTTTGTGTTTACTATCGATTTTGGGGACGGCGGGGTAGTCTAGTGGTTAAAGCGTTGGCTCGTCACGCCGAAGATCGGGTTCGAATCGCCACATGGGTACAATGAGTGAAGCCCATTTCTGGTGTCCCCCGCCGTGATATTGCTGGAATATTGCTAAAAGTGGCGTAAAACCAAATTCAGTCAGTCAGTACTATCGATTTTAGTTCATTCTGGGGAATGCATTTTCTCAAATTTGAGTAAAATCTCTAACTTAAGTCAAAACTCAGACTTAAGTTTGTTTTGAGAAATCGGTGCCTGATTATCGACCTCCATATTGAGAATGATAACCCGCACTACATATTTAAGTGACACTTTAGTGACTATAGTGATCTGGTGCAGTGTTTCTGCTGACTTAATTATTCATTATTTATCTGACACTGTGTCAGGCGACCTAAAATTCTACCGATCATGAATGAAATTTGCCGGTTGTATCCTATTGCCATACTGTAAGTACTCATTTTAAAGTTATTTTTAGCCTGGGTATTTCCAAAACATAACAATTTTGGGGACCATGAAAGCACAGCCAAGACTGTCATTTCGCTTACCCATGATTTTTTATTTTAATACATGATTATTTACCGGACAGAGTGTCCGGTTGGGTTTCAATTTACCGGTCCCCAATAAATTTTACCGGTGATTTTCCGGTATATACCTAAGAACGGAAACACTGTGGTGATATGAACTACACTCAACGAGCTCTGACAATCAGTGACTGTTATTATTCTAATGACCCGGGAACATCCGTGTTAGAATTGATCTTCAGTAACCCATGCTTGTCGTAAGAGGCGACTAACAGGATCAAGTAGTCAGGCTCGCTGACATTAGAGCTGGGACGATTTACCGATACATCGCGATACATTAAAGTTTGATACAGCTATCGTATCATCGACTGGTGTATCGATACAAAACGATACACAACTTTTTTTCAAAACAGTATTATCTTAAACATGATAAAGTACATTTTTAGAGAAAAAGACAAAGTATGATGTAGTTTCTTGTCTGTTTATTACAATAGTATTTTTGTTAAACACAAATACCTTGAAATAAATCATTTTAAATCTTAATACTGTGTCATTCTTTCAAGGTTTATGTATCGTGATACATATCGGATCGCAGGTAAAATATCGCGATATGTATCATATCGTGAAATAGTGTATCGTTCCAGCCCTAGCTGACATGGTTGACACGTCATTGTATCCCAGTTGTGTAGATCGATGCTAATGCTGTTGATCACTGGATTGTTTGGTCCAGACACGATTATTTACATACCGCCGCCATATAACTGGAATATTGCCGAGTGCGGCGTAAAACAACAACCAAACCAAACCAAATCTGATTTGGTAGCTGATTTCATTGTACTCTAAAATGTCAACAATAGACAAGGCGAAAAGTATCGTAACACCCTATATCAACGTTATTTGTTTGCTGATGTTGTTTTGCAGAACCAGACCCCATGATGATAAATGATGAATGATTCTGTTTAAATTTTGCATTACTTTATTTATAATCTCAATTATCTTACCTTCATGTACAATACTTTAATATCATTGGTCAATGACACTTTAACAAGTTTGCATGTCACCCCTCCCAGGAGGGTGACAACTGGTAAAAATATTACCCGCTGCCACGGTAACCGCCAAACTCTCCGCCGAGAAGCTGTATCGCTAACAATCGTATGACGTCACAATATGACACATGTACAGATATATTTTACCGACTATCACTGCTTTATTTAAACTGTTTTATACATTGAATCGTTTGGACACTCAACTTAAACATAATAAACCATTTAAAAAAAAAAAAATTATGCTTGTCAGAATATGTTTCACTGATTTTATAATTCCAGTTGAGATGCAGACGCCATTTTGTTTACATGTCATATAGTCAGTAGCGATCTTCAAAATAAAATAAAATGATATTTTGTACATTTAACATGGCAGTAAGATAAATACGTTGTACGCTTCTCCCTAGGGTAATACGGTCTGATGTACGCTCTTTGTAGCAGACCCGTGAAGATCCGGGGTAGAATAGGTCTTCAGCAACCCATGCTTGCCACAAAAGGCGACTATGCTTGTTGTAAGAGGTGACTAATGGGATCGGGTGGTCAGGCTCGCTGACTTGGTTGACACATTTCATCGGTTCCCAATTACGCAGATTGACGTTCATGATGTTGATCACTGGATTGTCTGGTCCAGACTCGATTATTTACAGACCGCCGCCATATAGCTGGAATATTGCTACCGGCCTACCGGCCCGGGTGACACTGCTACAAAGAGGCATACATCAGACTGTATTACCCTCGAGAGAAGCATACAACTTATATTATATGATTACAGCTACACTACTGATTTATGAGTACACAAACATTAATGTTTGTAACATTACTAACAAGTCTTGAGGAGAGAAACATCATTTCCAGTCACTTACTTCCCAACTGAAACACATGACAGCTATCAGATGTTGGAAGATTTACTGTTACCTACACCAGGTGAAAACTGTTACTCACAGTAACCTGCACTAGGGGTGAAACGGTTTACCGTGGCTGTAGTAGAGCCATGGTTGTAGTAGAACCGTGGAATCGTGGTTGTGAGTAGAACCATGGTTGTGGTAGAACCGTGGTTGTGGTAGAACCGTGGTTGTGGTAGAACCGTGGTTGTGGTAGAACCATGGTTGTAGTAGAACCGTGGTTGTAGTAGAACCGTGGAACCGTGGTTGTAGTAGAACCGTGGTTGTAGTAGAACCGTGGTTGTGGTAGAACCATGGTTGTAGTAGAACCGTGGTTGTAGTAGAACTGTGGTTGTAGTAGAACCGTGGAACCGTGGTTGTAGTAGAACCGTGGTTGTAGTAGAACCGTGGTTGTAGTAGAACCGTGGTTGTAGTAGAACCGTGGAACCATGGTTGTAGTAGAACCGTGGTTGTGGTAGAACCGTGGTTGTGGTAGAACCGTGGTTGTGGTAGAACCGTGGTTGTGGTAGAACCGTGGTTGTGGTAGAACCGTGGTTGTAGTAGAACCGTGGTTGTAGTAGAACCGTGGTTGTAGTAGAACCGTGGAACCGTGGTTGTAGAACCGCGGCCTTCGTGGTTGCAGTAGAACCGTGGAACCGTGGTTGTAGTAGAACCGTGGTTGTAGTAGAACCGTGGTATTTTGCCTTCGGTTCGGTGTACCGTAATGCAATCCAAAAATTTGGTCTTGTTCATTTAAAATAACAAAGATTCCGGTTATTTTTTCCCGTCGTTATTAAACAATGTAAGGCTTGGCTCTTGTTGTCAATTTTCTGCATTATGATCATATCTCATATACCGAAACAGACCAAAATCTCTTGAAGTCTAGATAAGTTGAGCATCTGCGTAAAATATGCATTGATATGTCCAAAATATGCACTGAAATATATCTATAGTGTCTCAAATTAAAAGGAAATTACAGAAATGCTTTGGTTAGTTGTTGACTTGCATACCCTGACTTAGAAATAAAAAGAATCAAATACTAACAGAAAGCTGCTAACTATAAAAAACTGGGTAGATTATCAATTGAATTTAACCTACAGAAAGAAACAATCGCGCAAACACAGCTAGGGCTGCGCATTATAACCGGTTTACCGGTATTTACCGGTTCAGACATGAAAACGATACGTATTGCAATACGCTGATCTAAAACTGGTATTTTGACTTGCATTCAGAAAACTTCGTAACACTCGGAAATGTTCGGATATGTCCTTGTTTCATTTGTGCCAAATATTATTCACATTTTTATTTCATCATGATTAAAAGTTGTTATTAAAGCTTAATCAAGCATAGTGATTTTGTTGTGTTTTTGCTCTATAAATCAAGAAATAACTCGATTATAAGTAGTTCTTGTTTAAAATTACTTCATGCAATATATTGCAATACATATCGCAATAGATGCTTTCGCATCGCAATGTATCGCAATATGAAAATTCTCTGCAATACCCACCCCTAAACACAGCTAATCTGATGAAATGAGACGGTCGGCAAAGATAGGTTTGTCCCTTGAGTGGGTTAGTGATGGTACACCAAGAATTCAGATTGTCTAACCTGATCAGACATAACGTGGATGTATTTCTCATTAAAACAACGACTGTGTTAATGTCGGAAGTACAAACCATTGGCTATAGTTATCTTTTTAAAAAACATTTAAATTACTGACATAGAAAATACCCACATTTTAAAACAGGGGTTGGGTATCGGAAAAATTGAGTTCCCACTGAAGATCAGTAGTACCCATTTATAACAGACACCATGGGTAAAATACCCAGATTGGAAAAAGCTTATCTAGAGCTCTGAAACTGCAATACGTACCGGACAATGGTAAGAGTGTATCGGTCACACCTAACTTGCACCAGCAATTGTTAACAATAACATGCACCAGTGCAGGATGTAAATAGGGAAATCGAATCCTGTACTGTGTTCTAGAAATTCATCAGACACATCCGTAAACAAATTAAATATAATTTCAGTTTCTTTAGCTCATGTTTGCAACTTGGTACCCATTTCACATTAATACACAGCATTATGTCTGAATGGAGACTTTGTCAAATTATTGCAGTGTAAGTTTTACATCATGACTCAATCAAGATATCCTTGCAACATCAGTGAACATAACCATAGCTGGTAGGGATGCCACATTCAAAACTGTATCGATATTCAGTTTTGAAAGTATACCATAGGTTTAAATATATTTATGTATCGTTTACATTTTGCAATTGCATCATGTTTTTTTAATGTTATGAAAGTTATAAATGGTTATTTTTCATGTACAAAGATGGGAAATTGGAACTTTTTAATCTCTTAGAATAACAAATGTTAATCTTTTCATGGATAATTATAAAATATGTAACATTAATGTTCAAAATGTAACTAAATTTACGCAATAATGCCGCGAAAATAAATATCGTGATACATATCGAATCGTGACATGGGTATTGTGATACGTATTGATTCATGAAACCTATGTATCGGGACATCCCTAATGGTCGGTCTGTCAGACAGTGCTTGGTTCTTTGAAGAACAGCAGGACCTCGGACCAGGAAGTTGTGTACTAGCATCATGACCTGGATGTTTAGTCTTCCTGGTAGGGGTGTCACGATACACCAATCTCATGATACGATACGTATCACGATTTTAAGGTCACGATACGATACGTATCGCGATACATAATTTTCGCGCCTTTTCATAGCATTAACTTACCAGCAACATAGGTTCTAGCTGATTGGTCCATCAAAATAGTCTAGCCAATCACAAAAGCTGTTAGTTTCCAACCTATTTTTTAAGTAAAGCTAGCTACATCTATCTATCGGAGCCGTCTCGTATAATTTTACTATCAAGACTTTGAAGGATATAGCATACAAATTTGAATCGATAAAGTTTTAAAATAGGAATCGATAAACTTTAGCATGTATCGCGTGTCGTATCGTCAGTAAAAATGTATCGATGCATCGATACATTCGCGTATCGCGACACCCCTACTTCCTGGCAATATTACAATGAACAACGCTAAGTCTCAGCTGGGCTCCAGGTAAGTTTTCAACATCCGGAGTACATACTTGTTATTTTTTCAATTCAGGAGTACTGGAAAACCTGAAAGAGTACATTTTAGAGTATTGAATGGAATTTAATGGAGTATTAGTAATCTAGTGTTTCGTTTCATACATGCACCACAACATTGCTGCTCTTGTGTAAACAGGTCAATAAACAATAAAACAATACTTTTTCAGAGAAATACATCTGTAAATGATTCTAAGACCGTACACCATTGCTGTAGTGCATATCTGCTACGTTTTCTAAAATATTTCCTAGCATGAAGTTTTTTTTAAGTCATTTAGAAGTTGGACGAACATGAATACATGGCACGTTTTATGGATAACAGGTTATCATGTTATCCATAAAACAGGTGCTGTATTTCCTTCCGTATCATGCATATTGTTTAGTTGTACATACGCCGATACGGCCCTTATCTGGAGCCCTGTCTCAGTACATTATGTCCAGAGTCTAAACTAAGTCATGGAATCAGTGCAAGTAGCTCTCTCACCCGAGTTTAGTTTTACACCACTTTCAGCAATATTCCAGCAATATCATGGTGGTAATAGGCTTCACACATTGTGCCCATGTGGGCAATCGGAACCAAGGTCTTAGGCGTGATGATAACTTTAAAATTGCTAGTGTACTCCGGTACAGTGGCACATGTAAAATCACTTGCCCTGATAATTTTTCCACTATACCGGCCATTTTCTTGTTGATATTTTAAATAAACAACATAATTGATATTGGAAAGTCAACTGGACACCGGTACAGTGTGATATACAAATTTGCTTGCCTGACAAAAAAAACTAATGGACTCGGGCGTCGGGCAATGGGTTATTTCCACCCCTGTACACCTATGAAGAGCTCGTCATGCAGAAGGTCTGGGTTAAATTCCTCATATGGGAACAACATGTGACGCCCCATTTCAGTGTTCACAAATGGTGTTTCACAGTAACAGGACATTGGGTCCTGTAAGTTTCAGATGTCTGTCTGACCCATTGAAAATTCACTGGACCCATGGAATAAAATTAAACACACATTTCAGATTTAATATTTCTTATAATTGACATTAAAATTATGAACAAACATGAGATTTATAAACAGCAAACAAGTGTCACATGTCACATAAAACAACTTCAGTCAAAGTTATTGTGAAATATACAGTCAGACACTGGGGCCGGCGGGTTGTAGACTTCTGTCTGACGGTCCCGTTGGTGAATCTGCCGGATTTGTCAGATGGTCAGACGCTATTCGTAAACACTGCCATTTCTGGTGTCCCCCGCCATGATATTGATGGAATATTGCTTAAACTTAAACAAGAAAAAATTGTGTCCAGGGACACAGATGCCCCCGCTGCTGTACGAAGAGTTCCCTACACTGAGAGTGGTCTGGTGATTAATTTCTACTAAATAAATATCATGGTTGATTATAAAATACATATATCCCAAGTGTCCAAGGTAAATACTTATTTGTAAATGTATGTCACAATGAACTTACCACAGTACAATTAAACCTTTATCATGAAGGTTCATGGTACAAGGGTAAATAAACTAGCAATAGCAATATCACTGTGGAGGCAAGTGAAAGCAATAGATTGCTGTAGAAGCTAAAGTGGTCAGTTTTGGCATATTCTGGAACATATTCAATATGGCAGGTTTAGATAACACAACCTTCTATCATATAAAGATCAATAATTGAAAAAAAATCACAAACAAGTTAAATAAACATCTATGCAACTATGAGATGCACACCTTTCGAGTCCCAATGAAACACATGTATAAGCTTAATCAATTCTGTTGAGCAGTTTTTGTGGAGAAGTGGATAGACTTAATCCCCAATTTCACTATCATCAGAGAGAAATTCAACAAAATTTATCTAAGTTCAAATGTCTCTGAAAATACAAAAAACTATAAAATACAAAAACAAAATATGAGATGCACACCTTTAGAGTCTCTATAAAAGACATATGTAAGCTAAATGAGTTTTGTGCAGTGGTTTTTGAGGAGAAGTGGATAAAGTACATCCCCTGTTGTATGGGACGAACAGTATGACTTCTTTGAGTGGCATTTTAGAAGTTGGGAAGTACAATATAGAACAAACTGTATGGATAACAACTTCTTTTTATTCTTGAGTGCGACGTTTCGATACAGATTCTTGTACCGTTGTCAAGCATAATGAACAGGATGAATAGAACCAAATTCAACTAAGTTCAAACATCTGTAGAAGTGACAAAATTAAGAAATTGGATGAACAAGGTATGAGATGCACACCTAAATTAGAGTCCCAATGTTGAGCAGCTTTTGTGGAGAAGTGGATAGACTTCATCCCCTACAACACTATATTCAGAGAGAAATTCAACAAAATTTATGTAAGTTCAAATGGCATTAAAATTGGAAAAATAAATAAAATACAAAATCAAAATATGAGATGCACACCTTTAGAGTCCCGATAAAGCACATGTGTAATCTAAATGAATTCCATAAAGCAGTTTTTGAGGAGAAGTGGATAACGTAACACCCCCTGTTGAATGGAACGAACAGGATGAATAGAACAAAATTCAACTAAGTTCAAACATCTGTAAAAGTGACAAAATTAAGAAATTGCATAAAAAATTATGAAGTGCACACCTTTAGAGTCCCTACAAAAGACATGTAGAAGTTCATTCAATTCTGGTGAGCAGTTTTTGTGGAGAAGTGGATAGACTTCATCCCCTATTACGCTATCATCATAGAGAAATTCAGCAAAATGTACCTAAGTTCAAATGTCTCTAAACTTACAAAAAAATCAATAAAACACAAAAACATAATACGAAATGCACACCATTAGAGTCCAAAGAAAGCCCATGTATAAGTTCATTGAATTGCACAGAGCGTTTTTTGTGGAGAAGTGGATAGAGTACATTCCCTGTTTCGTACAGACGTACACGGAGGGTAGCCCTATATGCCCCCAGCCATAGGTGAGGTGAAATTGCGTTTTACGTCGTACTTGAGAATACTTCGCTCATATGACGACCTGCATTAGTGTTGGGAATTGGTTAAAATCTCATAATTGATGATTGGTTCATTACTACCGATCAATCATCGAAAATAATTGGTTAGCGTCATTTATGAAATTTGTTAATGCACATAAAAATAAGGGGAAAAGAATGTAGTTCTTCTGGTTTTATTAGGCAAAATTCCACATCTTTAAAGGATGACTAGTATGTTAGGAACATAAATTTCTTGGAATCTTTAAGATAAATTCAGTCATGACTTGAAACGAGCTTGTAGTACTTACGAAATGTAACAGACAAAATCAACCATGTAAAAAAAAAATTGTTAATGAAAACAAGTGTTCTAACTTCTAGAATAGTTTGTGTTAGATTATGAGAAATTATGATCGATTTAGTTACTACGACCAATCTTCGATTATTTCAATTAATCGGACCACCACTAACGTGCATGCGTGTGTATGTGTATGTGCGGTTGCTTGTACTAGTCCAGACTTAAGCTGGTTTTATAGTGCTAACTCACTGAGATACCATGCAGCAGCGAAGCATGAATACCCAACTCAGACACATTATACTGACTCCGAGCCGACCAGTCCTTGTTGTACCTATTAATGCCGAGCGCCAGACAGAGACCAACAAGTACCATATTTTAAAGTCTTTTGGTATGACTTGACCGATCGAACTCCAGCGACCTTCCGCTTCTCTACGGGCGGACGCTCTAACCACTACACCACGGAGGCGGTGCCCCTAGCCATATATGGCGGGGGCATAAAAAACTCACTCACTCCCCATGTGTTTCTGGTTCACTAATTTGAAAGTGATTCAGTTTACCTTCCCCATCCACTGCACAAAGTTACGCGGAATATTTATCTGGCACATTCAAGCCACAAATAGCATTTTCTGGGTGACAAGGTCTTTATTTTTTATTACAGATCTGTGCCATTTCAATATTTACTGTGCCATGGTGCACAATTTCGGCACTATTTCAATCAATGGAATGCTTTCACAATGATAAGAGAGTGAGTTTAGTTTTACGCCGCTTTTACAAGAAATGTGCTTCACACACTGTACCCATGTGGGGAATCAAACCCGGGCTTCAGCATGACGAGTGAACGCTTTAACAACAAGAAGACAAAGTCATCAATATCCCCCGCAAAGGCAAAATACTCTTCATGAATGTGTCTACGAGTTATGATTATGTCAAATATTTAGATGTGTATCATGGGACCCTCTATTATCGCGGTAGTTAATGTTGTCACCATCGGGATTATGAACGGCTACTGACATTTAGCATTTTATATTTTCAGTTGACTGATGTTTAATCGTAATTTCTGTCACAAATAATGTGACACATGGTCGCAACTCGTTTAATACCATTGCGGCAATTCCGATTGTCTCGTTTGACCCGGAAATTGAAGCAACTCTCTATTATCGCGGTATTGCTATTTTCTTACTATGGCACGCGGTACAAGCAGATGACACCGTGAAACGTTTACTAAGACAAGTAACAAATCTAAATAGTTTGATCATTAAAAAATATTTAGGAATTTCATTCACATTAGTAATATCATCATGCTTTTAACGCAAACATCAGAAACTTCTATTCATTTGGATACAAGGTAACAATAACGTTACAAAATATTGTTTTTCCGGCTTAAAACGTACCATACAAGTTGCTGCCCTGTGCAGAGTAAAGTTACATAATACGTCACTTCCTGTTATATTTTTAGCACGGAAAATATGCAAATGGCCTTACAGTTGTCGCAGGATTGAAGTAAGTTTTGATTCATGCTAGATGTAAGGGCAGTAGGGATCATACTAGTTTCAAAATGTTCTAGAACTTACTGAAAAGATGAATGCTTTAATATTTCTCCGATCACACATAACATTCCAATGAAATAAATGACTTTTTCAAGAGTGATGAATGTATTTTACGTAATTTGCATATGTAAACAGCAGATGCGGGGCGTAGTGTTTCTGGTTTCCCGATGTTTCCGCGTGCCGCGATAATAAAGAGTCCCACCCTATATAGAATAGTGGAAGGAGAGTATTGAAAGGTTTTTAAAGTTCTCTTCCAGAAAGGAGCACTATCACCAATTTCAGTCTATGTCAAACTTGTTGCCATGGAAATGCCAAAAAGATTTTATTCAGAATTCCAAAACTACCAAAAGGCACCAGTACACCACCAGATCTATGTATGTGCCAAGTTTGGTGAAGAAACATTAAAGGGTTTTAGAGTTCTGCTCCGGAAAAGAGCACTACCACCAATTTCAGTTTTAGTCAAACTTGTTGCCATGGAAATGCCAAAAATATTTTACTCAGAAATCCAAAACTACCAAAAGGCACCAGTACACCACCAGATCCTTCTATGAGCCAAGTTTGGTGAAGAAATATTGAACAGTTTTAGAGTTCTGCTCCGGAAAAGACAAATGTGCATGGACGGACGCACGCACTGACGGAGTCCATTTTAATACCCCCTGCAAAACGCGTTGCGGAGGAGAACTAGGATATCCTACCACTCCACACAATGATAAAAAAACAAATGGAACATGCTTTATGATTTCCTGTGTGTGACTCCTTTGAAAATATGCCGTTCCATTTATTACAAAGGAAACATCTATGTCAACTGTGGGTGGTATTTCTATTGAAATATATTCCACAGTGAGTTTGACAGTCTTCTGCTGGAGTTGTATTGCCTGTATATTTCCATTCTGTAATCACGATCTTGATAAATGAGGCAGATCCAGAGGGGAAGTTCAGGGGGTTCACCCTACACACGGCAGCAAATTTTATGGTACATTTTAAGGCGGAATAAAATTAATTTGTTGTGTTATTGTTACCTTGTATCCAAATGAATAGAAGTTTCAGATGACTGGGTTAAAATCATGATGATATTACTAATCGTAATGAAATTCTAAATAATTTTAATATTAAAACTATTTATATTCACAACTACTCTAAAGTAAACAATGTCATTTGCTTGTACCATGTGCCATAGTAACACCGCGTGACGAGACAGGATGAGATGTTTGTATATATTTATAGTTTTTATTCTTTAGTTTTAACTAAATTAAATATCCAATTAAGTATACTTTAAACATTATCAGGGCTCGATTTAGTGCTTTCTTACTTGCACTGGTGCAACCCAATATTACAAAGAGCAACCCAGTTATTAGTTGAACTTGCACCAGGTACAAGTCAATTTTTGAGAAATAAATCAACAATAAATCTAACGCTATAAGCATAAGTATGTCAGCTCATTTTTCTTCTAAATTTTGGATAGCTGTGGCACCGAAACATTGCTATTTACAGACACGTTTCAGCTATGACAGCTCTTGTAAACAGGGATCAGCTGCAACTCTGTGTTGCTATGGTTTCATGGGTACTACATCACAGAAACATGTTTATGTGCACCGAGACACTACATTGCAACTGGAACTTGGCTGGTGCAACTAGGTTTACATCTTAGGTTGCACCTGGTGCAAGTACGTTAACTTCTCTTAATTCGAGCCCTGATTATATACTTCACTCTTCAGCTTTTCTAAATCTCTCTCTCAGCTTACTGCCTCTTTTTTGCCTCAGCCACAATCACCTAGAGCACTACCACACAACAGACTGCCCAAGCGTGCCATCTCTCTGTTCCCACAGAGGTTCCCTGTCACATCTTCCTCCGAACCTCCAGGCCATATAGCCCGGTTCTTGTAAAATCCCCTAGCGGCAAAAAATCGCAACACGAATTATCTCCCTTCTTTCTATCCAATCAGAACACCTGTTACATCGACTTAGATTCAGCTTGACTAATACAAGCAAATGTGGGGCCACAAATATCCTTCCTCTGCTGGGGACTTGTGTTGATGTGACACACAAGGCATTTAATGGCTAGCTTGTCCGTTATCAACGAGGGCGATGGAGACGCCATTGATCCGCTATTACATGACTGAGTTCCGTCTAGAAGAAACGTTTGCACATCACGGAGGGGAAGAGGTTCTAGTTTTCCCGAAGCATACGGAAATTACCGAGACCTTGCGAATGATCACGTTTGAAACAACGTTGCTGCAAAACTAAATCTGACTGCAACCAATTACGAACACTCGCACCATGAACATGATAAAGGGCCGTATTAGAACAGAGGTTTGTAGGAAGATATGACAAGTAACCTCTGTAGGAAGAGAATGGCGGGCCACTTACTGTGTCTTTGTCTTAAAGATCACATATACTCTAGGGGGGTACAAATTCATAAATCACTAATTGGCAACGTTTTAAATGAAACCCTGTCATTAAAACTACTCATTTCGATCTTTAATTAACTTAAATTGACCTTTTTGACAACAGTGCACAATTCTCCCCTGCGAACGAAATTTCAACCAATCAGAGCGACGCGTCTCTGTGACGTCATATGAGGAATAGCTATGAGGGCTGATGCAGAATTCAAGTACATTTCAGAGGGTAAATTATGTTGTTTACAGGTTTGTATAAACCTGAAATCGTGACAACTGTTGTGAAAAATGAAAGCAATAGGTTCTCACAATCTACTGTCATTTGAGTTTGTCTTCTGCTTTGCCTAGTTTCCAAGTTACAACTTGTTTTCATAGACGATTCAAAAATCGCTAGGCCTTATTTGTTCGCGCCAGACGCTAGTGATAGTGAAAACGATGATCAGCCTCGCTCATCACGGTTACGGTTAATTTCTTCAACCTAAACAGTTCGACATTAAGAAGGGTGGATGCCCATCAGATGCAGTTATTTGAAAATATCCCCGGTAGTTCTTGTCTGATTGTAATAAAGTATCAAAGCAGTGTGGGCTTTTTCATGTTTACTAATGCCTGGATGTTATAATGACTGATCCAAATTGATCCCATTTCTGTGTTTTATACCTCGATATTTAATCATGTCATGTAAAACTATGATGTCTCTTACGTATGATATTAAAAATTGACATTTGATTTATTTGAATCTGTAAACTAAACAACCCTACTTTGCCATCGCTAGAAGAATCTGAAAATTTACTTAGGTAAATAGGTACAAACAGTTTTAGCACACAGAAAATGCCTATATGTATTTCTTATGCAACAATGAAGTTCTGTTTGTATTCTCAAAACAGTGTCGGCCCATAAGTTTTCACATGCAATTAAAATTGCATGCAATACAGCAATTAATACTCCCTTGTTGTAACCCGTGTTAAGTGCTATAAACCTACACATGTTATTAGTCATCATTCACTTGATGGTCAGTTAATGAAATTATAACAGGTATAACACCACTTAGATTACCCGACAAAGGTTCCCATTTGGCATTTCTTGTGTCTGGAGTAAATGTTCAACATTACAAACATCGATCAAAGGATTAACCGATAACAGGCTGATTGATTAATTACTTTTATCTTGCACAGCGGATTTGTCAAAAGGTAGTGTTTATGTATGTAGATTTACTAATCTATACTGAATACACTCTGTCGTGTCTGTGTCTGCGAAAAAACAACGTCCTTCTTTCAAAGGATTAACCGCCAATACATTGATTGATTACTCATTATTGCCTAACTAAATTACTTTTTTCAAAGAAAGGCGGACATTATGCAATTAGTTGCCAGGTGTGCTATCTTGGGTGACCAATGAGACCATACACCAATGTGAAATACCTGAAACGATATGTCAATTTTTCGTATATTAGACACATCACTTGGAACAACTGCAGATGCATGGCATATCACTTTCGTTTTGTGGATATTGATGGATACATTCCTCGAACAAGGTAATAGCCTGACATTGTTCCTATAACTTTAATCTGTTTCAATTTTAATATTTGCATTTTGTTTTTATTCATTTGTCGTAGCATTCAACAGAATCATTGTTTTCGCCATGAAGTGTAATGGGACAGACAACATACACCAGGGAGTGTGTGCAAATTATGATTCACATTGGCAAACTATAAAATGTCTAGATATTACAGTCATGTTATAAATTCACCATAAGAATCAGCAGATCGTCTGCTTTTTATTTAGTTTCAATTTGCATACAAGAATGATAATAAACTAATTAGGATTATAAGACCAAATATATAGACATACATTGACTAGTATCTACATACTGATGAGTGGACGTTAACCACGTGAATGTAGCAAGAAATTTATCGCTCAGTATTGTCACTTCGACCCCACCTCGCTTCAGTGGAAGAAATCGTTATGTTATAAGTTGTGTCATGCAAAATCCTTTTGGTCATGATTCAAATACATATTTAACAACGAGTAGAAAGTAGTTTTGATTTTCTAACTTGATGAAAACAAATCATAATCTCATTAATTCTAACAGACTTAAGCCCGTGAGTTTACAATTTAAAAAAATGGCGGCGCCCTGTCGCGAGCATCCGCCAGTCTGAGGATAAATGCTATTTGGGTTTGTTTTCACCGAGTTACAAAATCAAAACTACTTTCTACTGGTAGTAAATATGTATTTGATTGATAATAATTGCATGACATAGCTTATAACTTAACAATTTCTCTCGTGGAAGCGAGGTGGGTGTCAATATAATACTACTTACAATATTATTTTCACTTCGACCACAACCTCGCTTCAGAGGAAGAAATCGTTATGTTACAAGTTGTGTCATGGAAAATCTTTATGGTCATCAATCATATACATGTTTTACTACAACTAGTAAATAGTTGTGATTCTTTAACTTCTGTGAAGCGATCTGAACACAAGTAAGATATCGTTTCAGGCTTCCACAACACTCGCTTTGCACTCACAAACATAACCCATTTAGCACGAACTGCGGGGTCCTGTGGAAATCTGTGCATGGCGACACCATGGCCCGAACCCTAGGAGCAATTGACCACAACGCAACGATTCGGCATGTCTTCGTTGATGTCGAGAAATCATCAAAATGACAAGCTTGCTACACACTTTCTATACAACTAACTGCAAATCCTTCCTCATATGATGTCACTGCAGTGCTCTGGCGACAGAGTTACGTAACCTGTATGTGGTTTCGTTGGCGGGCGAGAGTGAAGCAGGTGACTTTTTGGCAACTTTTAATCGCTCGGTATTAAGTAACCACAAGTTTTTTAAGAATAAATTTGGTGTTCCGCATAAGACTTACCACAAATCTTTCATATGTAATTGTTAAAAGAGTACAAAAAAACCAAAGTTTATTTGTTCTTTAACTATGTTCGCCTACTGTCCCCTGTTTTAAGTTTTGAGTTTCAGCACAGCACATGACATTTCTACTGTCAGCTGGCCACAAAGCACTTGAGGAGGGAAGATGTCAGCCTCTAACCCCCATATTTTTTTGAAAGACTTCCGTCCGTATCCCCCCTTAAATTTCATTCTAGTCAAATCATTTCACCTGAATATATATTCCTCATCTGGTAAGGATGACTTTTAACATGTTTCTTTAATTGTATCTGAAATTGCATATTGACAGACATATCCTACGTCCAAAAATGCCACTCATCACTAACATTTAGGGGGGATACGGGCGGAAGTCTTACCATTTTGTTTAATCATTCTATGCCTAAGAATATAGGCCTGTGGTTTTTTTTATAAAAAGCCTAAACCTAACCCTTAAACATTAAACCTAACCCTAACCACTTGAAATAATCCTAATAAATAGAATACATTTCAAGCGGGGGTTACAGGCAGAACCCTAACCCTTGTGGATACTGGAAAAAGATATTTGGATTTTGACATTTATTTTGTAGCTCTTGGGATCATTTCCGAAGCTTAGTCTCTGTCAGTACTTTTGTAGTTTGTACCAGGGAGACTATAAGGGGAGTGGTCACTCCTCGGAAAGCCCCTTAGCATATGCCTCGGCTGGTCACGTGACCAGTGTAGCCAATATGGCGGCAGCGTAGTTTTTAAGATTGAGCCCGGTTTATATTCAACAGCTGATTACATACGCTGAGTGTTGTGACAACTGAAAACCTAAGTTACCTATTCTGTCACTTCATTTTAAGTCAAATAATTGTTATTTGTGTCAGTATTAGTACAGTAGATTTGTAGTGATAGTTTTATAACTAAAAATAAATTGTTAGGGTGTATTTGAGGTGTGTGAAAAATATGACATATCGCTGATCTGCCATTGAAATACTACAGGGCGTTGTTTGAGTGTTTCTAGTTTTTGTTCTAAAACATCTTTCACATACACCTTTAATGTTTATGAGGAGAATATACCATCAGGTGAAAGGTGTTTGCAAGTAATAGTGATAGTTTACTGTTAAACGCAGCCGAAGTTGCGCTGGGAACGAACCAAGTCACTGTGTGTGTTGAACCATGATGAGGCACACGCTAGTTAGTACAAATGGTAAAGAAAGCAAGCGAGTGACCTATCCCTGTTGTAGAGTATCCCTGTTTGTACATATTCATGTGATGTGTACAGATATTGATAATTTGGTTGCTTTGTCATATTATAAATATTGAGTAGTTTATCAGCAAGGTGCGAGAATTATGGAATTAATACCGTGAAAGATAATCTGTCACTCATTAGTTATTGTCTAAATATGCCATCAATGCAGTGTTGAGGCAATATAAATGAAAAAGGTTAGCAATTATGATATTTTGTAAATGGTTACATTTAAAGATGATATTAATTATTGATATTATCCTGCAGCATATATTTGTTTTGTCTAAAGAATGCTTTAATTGTTTCAGGGGTTTAAAAGATTTGTCTGTTCATATCTTTAATTAGTTCCTGCTTCAGCGAGAATGATATATGATAGGTTTGACACTATTTCCGGGTCAAACAATTCAATCCGTATTGCCGCGATCGTATTGAACGAGTTGCGATTATGTGCCAAGAGAAATGAAGATAAAACAGCCCATTAGTCAACAGAAAATATATATAATGTCAGTGAGAGTTCATAATCCCGATAACGACAATAGAGGGTCCCATGATGATGACTGTAATACATGTTGCACGAACAGGAAGGCGGCGCCACACAGTCTCAGTGCCAGTGCCACATTATGGCACGAGATGAAGTAAACCTCATCATCAAAACATTCGCCACAGTTCTGACTGGATACACTCTTTCACTTCGAATCATATGGCGTTGTCTGTTTATGTGAAAATTACATATTTTCAGTAACAGAACCTCGAACGATCTTGCTGGTTCAACAGCAGCCTTATCAGGACGCAATTATCATCAGAATATTATATCGTTCACTTGTGTCATGGACCATAATATATAGTAAAATGCCTGGCTATTCCTTTGCTGGGATATCGGAGGAAAATTAGACTTACCAACAACAGAAACAACCGCTATCTTCTAAGATCAAACGCCTACCTCAAACATACAGGGTATCCCAAGTATTTTCTTACTTTTGCTTTCTATGAGTAACTTCCTCCGGCGCTAAGCTAAATCTGGTACCCGGCTCCCTTTGCGCCGTATATTGCGATATGCGAGACGGGGCCCAGCTATGACTAAACATTCCGCATGGAACTCTGGGTAGAGGTGACCGGGATTTTACCAAGCTCCTCACAGCGACAGCCTCCAATTACACGCGCAGGAATGGAGTTTGCGCTCAAGCGTTTTGTGTATGTTAAAGTGCCTTTGTTGTCAACAAGTCAATGTTCAGAGTACAATGAATAACAAGGAAAGAAGAGAGAGAGGGGGCAAGAAGTGGTATATATTGAGTGGAAAGAGTGTGAATGTGTCCTGTATGTGCGATGAATGTTATGTCTGTTTTATTATTGTATATAATTATATGCTACACAAAAGGTCTGCCATAAGCAAACCCATGTGGGTGGCCGATATAACAATAAAAAAAATATAATAATTATACAAAATAAGTTGTATGTGCTTTAACAATACACAGAATCGGGTAATACTCACTGTCTAGTAATTCTATTCCTTAAAGATGCAAGTCTAGATAAGCGGACGGTACATCTAAGGACACCAATCTGTATTTATTTAGATTTTAATTTAAACTATTATAATCACTACCTTGTGAAAGTCTACGTCTACATTATCCCATGATTGGAGTTTTCGTTTGTTTGTGAACCCGTGCAGGATAAATACACAAAAGGACATAATCTTTTAAATTTTTGTATATTTTCTCAGATGAAAATCACATTGATAGACTCTGTGAGATGTGAAGTTCACCGCTGACTATCCAACGTATAGGCAACCACGCTTAATTTTGCCATCTACGACCGTCATGCAATCATTCCGTGTCGTTGTCAAGCAAGTGATACATGAGTAACAAATTGAGAGAATATATACATGAGTTGTTATTACAGTAGATAGGGAATGAGTTGTTTATACAATAAATGAGGTTGATGTACAACGCTTGTATAAGAGATTGATAAGTTGATTGGAAGTCAGAAGGGTGATATACAATGACTTAATTAGAACTTATACAACTGATAGGAAGGTTGTATCCCATTACCCCTACATCCCATTACCCCTACTTCCCAGTACCCCTACAATTAGTTAAAACAACACACGGCATTTACCTGTCTGGCATAATGAACTTACCCATGGGAGCGATTAAAGTGTTGTGTATACAACCTACAAAGGAATAAGGTGTTCTTGGTTAGAGAAAGTTTGTTAAGATGAAATGAAGTAAATGTTGAAATTGACACTGAGATGAGACAAGTAATTTGAGATGACTTAGTATTGTAAAGTGTTGTGTATACAAATTAGAAAGGATTAAGGTGTCCTTGGTTAGAGAAAGTTTGTTAAGATGAAATGAAGTAAATGTTGAAATTGACACTGAGATGAGACAAGTAATTTGAGATGACTTAGTATTGTAAAGTGTTGTGTATACAAATTAGAAAGGATTAAGGTGTCCTTGGTTAGAGAAAGTTTGTTAAGATGAAATGAAGTAAATGTTGAAATTGACACTGAGATGAGACAAGTAATTTGAGATGACTTAGTATAGTATATAAATGTTGGAAACAAACTAACATGACATCAACATGGCTGGTCTTCGCAATGTTGAGTTTGTTATGTCACGGAGAGGTAGCACCCAGGTCCTATTTGAGGGTTATCTACACACTAAGAATGTCTATATGGATGGAACCTATACTGCCTGCCCTGGTCTGTGGAATCAAGTGTACATCCTACATGCAAGACGTGGAACCACAACCTATCCCCTCATCTTCACCTTAGTCCCCAACCGTCAGACTGAGACCTACTCCGGACTCTTCAGACTCATCAAGAATGAAGTTCAGCAGAGACTTAACCGGCCGCTTGCCCCATCCTGTGTCCAGACAGACTTTGAGCTGGCGGCAATTCATGCTATAGAGAGAGAGAGTTCCGACTGCTGAAGTGAAGGGTTGCTTCTTCCACTACTGTCAGGCCATTTGGAGGAAGGTCCAGGATCTGGGACTTGCTGTTGCTTACAGAGAGGATCTGGAAATATCCAGATGGGTAAGAAGAGCGGCTGGATACCCCTTTTACCCCAGAACAGTATCCAGGACACGTGGGTTGACGCCATGGACGACGCTCCCGATGTACCAAGAGCGGCACTTTCAACGATTACATGGTGACTACCTGGGTCTATGACGACGCAAGATTCCGCCTGCCACTGTGGAACCATCACTCAACAACAGGTCCAAGGACAAACAACAACCTAGAGGGATTCCACAACCACCTGAACCGGGGACTCCCACATCGACACCCCAACATCTTCCGATTTGTGGAGGTGGTCAGGAAAGTTGAACACGCTGAGAGAGCGAAAATTTGCCAGATAGACTTTGGAGCAGCACAGAGAATCAGAAAGAGAGTGTACAGGGAGATGGAGCATCGTTTGTGTCGCCTCAAGGAGCAGCTCAATCTTGGGCTGAAAACACCAATGCAGTTCCTTGACGCTGTGGACCATCTCCTCAAATTGGCGTAGAGACTTGTTTAAAAGACAAAAATTAACGTAAAAAAGTTAACATGACCTGCTGCTCATATTCATGTCACGACCAGGATGATATCTGTGTATTATATTCATTTATTTGTTTAATTAAATCCATAAATTAAAACATTAAGTCTTGTGTTCATGTGTTTGGGCTAGTCCATTGTCCAGGTAACAGGTAACAGGAAGGGGATTAGCAGTGCATTGGATCGTGAACTTTGTTGTTATAAGCTGTAGGGGTAATGGGATGTAGGGGTAATGGGAGGATACCGCTACAGCTGGACGTTGTCGCATAGGTTTTGAAATGCTGATTGGTGACACGTGTATCCAATTAATCTTTCGTAACGTTTTCGTTTCCAGAGGAGGATTTGAAACTCGTTAAATATATTCCTGTATCATTTTGTTTATAACTTGGTCAACTCATGTCAAAACGATTCAAATCGAATGAGAGCAATAGGTGACATTCACTGGGGTGCAGACAAATAAACCTTTCTATACATCTACAAAACGTTTATCATGTGTAGCTTAGCCCAGTGAAAAACAGGGCTCACAAAACAGGACTCATAAAATACCTAAAGGTATTTAAGAGAATTTATGGACGTCAACTTCTGTACTTGTGGAACACGATGTTACGGAGTATATTCTTATCCTTCATCGGGTGAATGAAGAGACTAGAAACTAGGAAACAGAAAGCTGAAGATGTACATTTGAAACAACGGTGATAAGATAACAAGGGAAGCCAATACTTAACTAAATTAGCTTAAATTGGTAGGGTGGATGGACAAATGGAAACCAGAGATTGTTAATCCCGGCATGAATAATGAGATAACAATGGTGGCATTTAACAAAGGAAATGACAATAAGGAAATGTAAGCCAGGAATTAATCCAAGCCTAATTAGTGATGTAACAATAAATTAAATGATTGTTATCCTTTTACAGACTTTTAAGAGCACTCATTTATTTCAACGAAAACACACTCGGTTTCTGGAGTTATCTTTGGATTATTGTTTGGACAAGTTAAAGGATTAATTACAAAATGCCAAAGAATTTGAAAGCATTTTCATTTTGTTTCTATACGACTTAACCAAATGACAATAAAGCCTCCTGTTTGATTAAATCATACCAGGCAAGACCTCATGTCAAGACCGGACAGAATCATGTGAAATATCCCTTTCTCGCTCTATCGCTTTCTTGCACTATCGCTTTCGCGCTCTATCGCATTCTTGCTCTATCGCTTTCTTGCTCTATTGCTTTCTTGTGCTATCGCTTTCTCGCTTTCTCGCTCTATCGCTTTCTCGCTCTATCGCTTTCTTGCTCTACGCTTTCTTGCTCTATAAACTCTCCTCTATCGGTATATTGCTTTCTCGCTAAGTCTCTTTCTCGCTTTCTCGTTTTCTCATCTTGTGCTATCACTTTCTCGTCTCGTGTTATCGCTTTCTCATCTCGAGTTATCGCTCTCTCGTCTCGCGTGTTATCGCTTTTCGTCTCGTGATATTGCTTTTTCACTTTTTCACCTCCGAATTTTACCCAAGGCTAGAAAGCGATGGCCTTAATCAGCCACCATAGGTTAGCTGTGTGTAGGGCTCGAGGCAAAGCCTAGGACTAAAAATATCAGTGATGAACACTCCCAGTAGTATATACACTGGGGTGCGAGATCACTTTGTCAAAAGGCCTCTGTAAAGCTTTATTTCATAGATAAAGCCTTTATCAGGCCCCGATCTCTCCCCACCAGTGTATATACCACTTTGAATCCCCCAACCAACTTCCTAGTCACTATGGCCTTAAATCGCTACTTCTTGGGTGGCAACATGATGCCGTGAGGTATGACCAACAATTCCTCTCTGAAGCGAACTCCCTCGGGCGCCCATCTTTCAAGTAGTACAAGTTCGGCTCTGTCGTCTTTGATGTCCACTTTATCTATGCTATAAGTCTTGACCGACCAGGTCGGGTCGGTGGCTCGTTTCCGAGTGTCTCCTTCCGTGTTACCCTGGCTGGTAGAGGTACCTCACGAGAGCCCTGTCGGGTATCTGTTTCTCCTTCCCAGCGATGGTGCAGCCGGTTCGGGCTGTCACTGATTTCAGTTCGATAGCGTCGACCGGTTTCTTGCCGGGTGAGACGAGTGGTTTTCGTGGTTGATAGCCGACAGCACTTGAGGTAGCCGCGACTACCCATTCTGTCGATCGTCTCCCCAGGTTGGCCATCTCTCTCGCATACTGATGCCCGAATAAGCGCTCTGCCAAAGTCCTATTGAATCTCTCGACTATGGCTTTACTATGATGAGCCCCAGCCGCGCCACACATGACTTGGACGCCGTGCTTTGCTAGCAGTTGTGACAAGGCAACCATGAACTCCTGTCAGGGATTGACTGGCAGCTCTGTGGGCCATGTCAGCAGACTGCGCTTGTATATGCGCTCGAATCCACAGGCTACCTGGACTGAGTCTTTCATGGTTAATGGTTTGGCTTCTTTGTTGCGGCTGGCCACATCAACGACAGTTAGGGCATACTTGTACTTCCTGTCATGGGGTAGGAACAGGAGGTCGACCTGGT